ATTCTATGACAGTTTCACTCTGTTCTGCTTCATCCTATCTGCTCTTGTGTCGGTTTCCGTCCATTCCCGTCCAACGATCTGAAGGCCGCCTCTTTTTTTATTTTACCCACTGATTGCCGTCTTTCCAATCATCTCATCATTCTTCCGGCATAAAGATTCTTGTTTTTCGTCCTACTTCCATCGGCTTGCTCTTTTAGAGCATTCTGCTATCCCGAACGTTTTTATCTGCTATCTTGTCCACTTTGTGTTCCATTTGTCATTATGTTCACTGCCACCTTCAAATATGTCCTTTTGGGCTTCTCCTTTACGGATGGTTATGTTGTACATTTGATCATGCTTCACGGGGCTGCGTGAATTATACACTTATTATTATTAGTTTCTGCACTATTTTTATAGTTTTCCATCGATCTGGGTCGATGTCTTTGACCAACAGGTTTCCTACGCTCAATGTTATGTCATTTCGGACAATCCGATCTGCGGTCTCTGCCCACTTATGCTGCAGAGAATACTGCAAATCTTTGACTATTTGTTCCAACGTGCTAAGCGAATTAATGCCAGCTGTGCCAACCATTTGTTTCAGGACGAGCATGCAGCTTTCCATTGGAATAGCTAGACAAGACAACACATCAGCGTCCACGTTATTCATGTTGAGACCCTCCAACAATCCATCTCAAAGTGAGCGCGCTACCTCGTGCAAGCGCCCAAACAGACCTTTATGAATTATGCATGCCCTTTTGTACCCAACCGCGGGTGGCAACATGATGCAATCTTCAATTGCGCTCCCAGTATTCCCCTTACAGTAATGAAGCAAATACAACAAGCGTTGCTCAACGTAACTTCTCTTGGAGGCAACGTATATTTGAAATCGACGAATGAACCTCCAGTATATTGTAGGTCGCCCATCAAAAGATAGAAGCTCTCTTTTGGGTAGTTCTAGATTTGCGGAAATTCGGTCTGACATGGACATCGTTGTCTTACGTTCTCTCTCCAGCTCTGCGAACTCTGCTGTCCTGGGAACAAAAGGACCACTAGCCTCCCTGGGGTCCCATGTTGGATGTCGTTCAACAAGCTGCATCACTGGATCTTCTCCGTCCTTACTCGCTATAGAACCTAATGATAACTTATTATCCATTTCCTCTGCCAGCCGTGCAGTCTCCTATTCGTGTTCTAGTTCGCTTCTGTGCTTTTAATGGAGTTCTTCCATCTTACGCTCAATCTTTTCTCGTTAATGACGCTCCTTCATTTCAATTATTGACACGATAAGCGCGACCCATTGGTTAGCCGACTATGCTCGCTAACCCTGGAGCCATGAACAGAAAACCAATGTAAAGGAACTTGCCAAGGTTCTCCAGTATTGAGGCCGAATCCCCGTTGATCATCCTCAACGGCCTTGTTCGGCATATTCATTCTCTAAATGACGGGTATATCAGAGCACTGTAACGACCAAAAGGCGATTGTCTTGGTCCGGGCAAAACGAAAAAGACCCCGCCTGTATGCGTTA